TAGAGGAGGAGGAGGGGAGGAGGAGGAGGTGGAGGAGGGGGAGGAGGAAGAAAGAAGAAAGGAGGAGGAAGAAGAAGGAAGAAGGAAGAAGAAGAAGAAATAATATAGAAAATAACAAACAGCAAAATGACAGAAATTCTTTCTATTTTCAGTAGAAATATATTAAACTCTCCAACTGACAGAAAGAGAAGGAAGGCTAGGGATGTGGCTAACTTGTAGAGTACTTTCCCAGGCTATATGAGGCCCTGGGTTAAATGGATCCCTATCACTGGGGGGTGTGGGGTGGGGGGAAGAGACTGGCAGAATTAATAAAAAAACAAGATTCACTATATGCTGCCTATAAGAGATTTACTTTAAATTGAAAGACACAAATAACTTGAAGATGAAAGGATGGAAAGGGATATTCCATATAAATAGTAACAAAAAAAGAGAAGGATGGCTATACTATCAGACAAAATAGACTTCAAATAAAAAAGAGGTCTGGGCACAGGGATGCATGCCCATAGTTCCAAAGACTCAGAAGGCCCAGGTAAGAGGCTCCCAAACTTAAGGCCAACTTCTGCAACTCAGTGAAACCCTGTTGCAAAATTAAAAATTAGAAAAAGTGGGACTGGGGATATAGCTCAGAGTTAGAGAACCCCTGGAATCTGTCCCCAGTATTGAAAAAAATAATTGTAAAAATTTAAAAAGAGGGACTGAGGATGAGTTCAGTAATAGAATATTTGCCTAGCATGCAAAAGACCATAGATCTAATCTCCAGTAATGGGTGAAAAAAGGAGAGAAAGAAAGAAAAGAAACGAGAGCAAAGGAAGACATTTTTTTTTTTCATTTTTGCAGTACTAAGGATCAATCCCAAGGCCTTGCAGCACATGTTAGGCAAGCTCTCTACCACTAAGCTACATTCCCACCCATGAACATTAAATAGTTCAAAATTGCAAGAAAATATTCCAATTAAAAGCATTTACATATCTAGTAATAAATCATCAAAATATCTGAAGCAAAAATTGACAGAACTGATGGAAGAAATAATTCTACAATGACAACTGGAGATGTCAATGTCTCAGTCTCAATAATGGCTAGAACCACCTAACCGAGATTAGAAAGGAAAAAGAACTTGAACAAAAAATAAACCAACCAAATCTAACAGGCATATACAGAATTCTATTCTCTAGTAACAACAGCATATACACACGATGTTTTTCCAGATCTACCAACTGAGTGTTAACAAATTATAAAGATAGATTACATGTAAATATATTCTCTGACCAAAATGATTTGACATTAAGAGATTTAACAACAATAACAACAACAACAGCGGTACAGCGCTCGCCTAGTGCGTTCGAGGCCCTGGGTTCAATCCTCAGCACCACATAAAAATAAATAAATAAAAACAAAGGTATTGTGTCCAACTACAACAAAACAAAACAAAACAAAAAAACCACTATTTTCACACACACAGACAGAGATAATTTGGATAGTCCTTTATAACCCATGCCCGGTTTTCCCTAAAATTAATATCTTAATGTTTTTCAATTTAAAGTAAATCTCTTATAGGCAGCATATAGTGAATCTTGTTTTTTATTAATTCTGCCAGTCTCTTCCCCCCACCCCACACCCCCAGTGATAGGGATCCATTTAACCCAGGGCCTCATACAGCCTGGGAAAGTACTCTACAAGTGAGCCACATCCCCAGCCTTCCTTCTCTTTCTGTCAGTTGGAGAGTTTAACTATTGAAGAAATTTATAATGGTATAATATTACTATCTAAAATGACTGTAAAAGTTAAATAACTTTAGTTTACACTAAAATTATTATACTACAGTGTTTCAAAAGAAGACACTTAAACCACTGTGGTATTACTTACGATATGAATAAAAAGAGACAAATAGGAGGGATAATCAGTCTAGAAAAAGAAATACACTGGGAAGACCAAGATGATGGTTTCCTTTGCCTCCTTGGAGTTTTACTTTGTGCTCCACAATCGAGCAAAGAATCAGAAATAGAGGTAAATACCAAATGATCATGATGACAAAAAGAATTATTATGATATATAATTCAATGAAAAATACTAAGAATTTATACTAAAAAGAAAGTGTGTTTAGGGCAATTTGAAGCAAACTATCCATTGTTTAATATTTTTATGTTACTTACCTTAAAAATTATAATGTTCTCTACCATAATGTTTCGACTATGAGCATAATTCAAGGCAACATCAACATGTCTAAATATATAAATTCCAAGGTGAGGATTTCCTAATATCTTCAATGTAGATGCTTTGGTACTTATCCCATTCTGATATATCTCTAAAACATCACTCTGAGGAAGCGCTAAAAAGCAGAAATGTTCTTCAAGCTCTCTGCCATGTTTTCTTCTCTCACGCATCTCTGACCTAAATCAAAACAAATAATGGTTATAGTTAAATGGGAAAATAAATATTTCATCTTGCCACAGTTAGAAAGCAAGAAAAGTGTTGATAATATTCAGAGGTGTCACTACTGTATAATAAGAAGTTACAATGAAAGTCATCTAAAGATAGAATTCAAGCCAGGCACAATAGCGCATGCCTATCACAGTGGCTCTGCAGGCTGAGGCGGGAGGATCGCAAATTCAAAGCAGGCCTCAGCAAAAGGGAGGCACTAAGCAACGGGGCAAGACCCTGTCTTAAAAAAAAAAAAAATCCAAAATAGGGCTGAGGATCTGGGGATGTGGCTCAGAAGTTGAGTGAGCGCCCTTGAGTTCAATCCCTGCTACCACCCACCACCAAAAGATCAAATTCAAATTACATGTTTAGGATTTATAGGGACCACATTTTATATAGGCTGTTAATAAGAATGAACATTTTTTGAATACTGCTGATATACCTATTAAAAGTCTTGAGCTTTATGTACATTTATCAATCTGTTTTCAACTCCCCAAGAAGTTATTACTACTGTTATTTTTATACATTGGTTTTTTTAAATGAGAAAAATAAGGTTCAAAAACTTAGAAGTTGCCAAAGTAGCAAGGTGATGGGTGACAGGGTTGGAATTACACAGGCATGTTTCATTTTATTATGCCTTGGTAGACACACGGGTATGTGTACTTTCTCTTTTTAACAAATTAAAGGTCTGTGGCAATCCAGTGTCAAGCAAGTATATCAGTGTCATTTTTTTCCAAAAGGCATGTGCTTACATTGCATCTGTGTCACATTTTGGTAGCTCTCTCAATATTGCAAACCTTTTATTATATTTGTTACAGTGATATGTGATTAGTGATCTAGAATGTTAATATTATAAAAATGTTTTGGGTGTCATGAACTACACCCATATGAGATCGTGAACTTAACTGATAAATGTGTTCTGCCAACTGACTGTTCCTTAGTCTCTCTCTCTCCTAGAGCCTATTTCCTGTGACACAACAATATTGAATTAAATCTTCAAATACCCTACAGTAGACTAAGTGTTTAAGTGAAAAAAAAAAAGAGTTGGAACACCTTTTATTTTAAATAAAAAACTTGAAATGATTAGGTATATTGAAAGCTGAGATAGGCTAAAAGCTGTGCCTCTTGTGCCAAATAGGCAAGTTCTAATCATAAAGGAAAAGGTCTTAAAGAAGAAAGTTAAGAATTCTAATCCTGTGAACACATGAATAAGCAAATAATATTACTGCTAATATGAAGTTTCAGTAGTTTGGATAGATCAACAGCTACCACATTCTTGTAAGTCAGAGATGAAACAGCCTTACATTGGAAGAAGATGTCGTCTAGGTCTTTGACACATAACAGAGATAAAACAACAGGGTGATTCTTGTTACAAGTGAATGAGGCTGTTCAAGCTGAAGCCAATGCTCATTTAGCATTGTGAAAATCCTAGAACCTTTAAGAATTATAGTAAACTTACTCTGCCTGTGCTATGTAAATAGATTAACAAAGTCTGAGCACAGCTCATCTGCTTACAACATCATTTACTGGATATTTTAAGGCCATGTTGAGATTTAATGCTCATGAAAAAAGTTTTTTCAAATATTACTGCTGACAATGCATCGGTCACCAAAGAGCTGATGGAGATGTATAATGAAACTAATGTTGTTTTCATGTGTGTTCTGCAGCTTGTGGATCAAGGAGTAATTTTGACTTTCAAGTCTTATTATTTAATAAATAATTTTGTAATGCTGTAGATGCCACAGATAGTGATTCTGCCTGATGGATTTGGACAAACTAAACTGAAAATCCAGAAAGGATTTACCCTTCTAGAAACCATTAAGAACATTTGTGATTCATGGGAAGAGGTCATACCATTATTAACAGGAGTTTGGAAGAAACTGCTTTCAACTCTCATAGATGACTTTGAGGGGTTCAAGAATTTAATGGAGGAGGTAACTACAGATGTGGTGGGAGCAGCAAGAGAACTGAAGCACAGCAGCAGTAGAGCCACAGAACTGCTGCAATCTCATGATAAAATTCTAATGAATGAGAATTGCATCTTGTAAGAAAAGAAAGTGGTTTGAAATAGAATCTACTCCTAGTGAAGACTCATGGAAGGCTTAGATAATTGTTTAAAAAAATTTCCTCCAGTGCTGAGAATTGAACCAGTGCTTTAAGCATACTAGGTCTAATGCTCTTATGCTGAACTATACCCCTGGCCCTGATTGCTAACATTTTTCAGCCATAAAATACTTTTACATTACATGATAGTATCATACACTTGAAAGACTATAGAACCATGTAGACATAACATTTTTATGTACTGAGAAACCACATATTTGTTCTAGTCTGTAAATGAACCTGCAACATCCCTGAGATATGCATGCACATGATAATTCTTTCAGGTTCCAGAACTCAAGTTCTTGCTAATTGTATTATTGAGGAAAAAATGTGCATTTAATAAATGAAATAAATGAAATATCTTTCTATTATTTTACCATATGTATCTTTATACCTACACAAACAGACACACATAGTTGACCATCAGGGGCATTCTTCATTCTTCAGGGATCTAGATTACAACTGGGAGAAACAAGCTAATGTTTAATTTTTGACTGCTAGCTTAATAGTAATAAAATTATGAATCATTTTCAGAAAAGATTATAATCTAAAGTCCAGATACTTTTGATTTACTACTATAACAAGACCCACTTTAAGCATGTAAAATATAAAACTCTCCCCTCAAACTGGCAGATTGGAGTGTTCTCTAAGACCTGCTCAGGAACAGTAGCAAAAGCATCTGCCATACCAGGTGGTACAACATGACAGAAATGTGACTCCAAGTGATTATTTGCAATAGACACACTACAGAACACAGCAAAGGCATGCAAAAAGAAAAGTTGTTCTTGAAAACTACATGCCTTTAAAATGTATGTAGATTCTCACAGAATTTGTATGAAGTGTAATATGTACAAAAGCATATTAAAATTTTCAAGAACCACCAACTGTTAATGGTAGACATGACAAAATGTGGTCATATGACATGGTAACATTGCTGACTAGATCATAACCACTTTAAATTTTTTTAAATTTATTCTTTTTAGTTATATATAACATTAGAATGCATTTTGACATATCATACATATATGAAGTGTAATTTCTCATTTTTATGATTGTATTTGATGTAAAATTATACTGGTTGTGTATTCATAGATGAACATAGGAAAGTTCTATCTATTCATTCTACTGTCTTTCCCATTCCCACACCGTCCCCGTTCCCCACTTCTCCTGGCGTCCCCCCAGTCTGGTAAACCTTCACTACTGCCTCTTGCCCCCATCATGAGTCAGTATCAGAATATTTGGCTTTCAATTTTTTAGGATTGACTTATTTAAAAGTTAGCATGATAGTCTCCAGTTCCATCTATTTACTGGCAAATGTCATAATTTCATTCTATATACCACATTTTTTCTTTATCCATTCATCTGTTGAAGGGCATCTAGGTTGCAGAACCACATACCTAATTCTTAGTTCCCAGAAATATTACCCTTCACTTAGAACTCCACATGTCAGCATTTCCTGCTATCACTAGATTATGTTAACCACTAAGATCTCTATGCTGACCCTTAAGGGTAAATTCTCACAGAGGAATTATAAAACCTTTTTTTTATTACTGGGGATTAAACTCAAGGGCATTCGACCACTGAGCCACATCCTCAGCCCTATTTTGTATTTTATTTAGAGACAGGGTCTCACTGAGTGCTTAGCTCCTCACTGTTGCTGAGGCTGGGTTTGAACTGGTAATCCTCCTGCCTCAGCTTGCCAAGCCACTGGGATGACAGGCATGCATCACCATGCCCAGCCCTTCTACTTTAAAAAAAATTTTAAATTATTCAATTGTTTTTTCTTGGTATTTGGAAATACATGAACTTTCTGAGCACTGCCTAGAGGGAATTCTTATGTGCAAAAGCTAATAATGCCACAAATGATGGGGGAAAGGGAGGGAAGAGAGAGTGTATTGTTGTAAGGTTCTTAAACAATACATGAATATAACATTATTTGAAAATACACTGTGATAAAGACAAGGTAAACCCTAGAGCAAGGTTTTTCAACAGTGGCACCAATGATTATTTAAAAAAGTGAACAGAAGGAAAGAAGAAGAGTGGCAGCAAGATACAGGTATAACGGAGAAAAAGATAACTACCTACAAAACAGAGAACAAGGTAATTTGTCTGTTAGAGAAATAACAGAGAGAAAGTAATAAAAGAAACAACAACAAAGTGATCTTTCTTGGGTCTAAGAAAGATCATTTTTTGTGCAATTTCTCCAAAGACTACAGCCTCATGAAACACAGTCTGTGGCCCACAAAAGAGATGTCATCCTCCCAACTGGAATAGCAGGGTCCTTACTGCTCTTTTTCCCCTGAATTAAATCCATACTTTATAATCTATTATGAGCAAATAGCCTTCTGCAGGTATTAAAGTCAGTTCTGGTTGGGATGCCATTGACTTCAAGTACAGAAATCCATTCAAACTGGATTAGAAATAAGTTAACTTTCTCATAACATGAAGTTCAGAAATCAGGCTGCCCTTACAGGATTAAATGATTTTGTGACTCCAGAAGTGTATATGTTATCAGAGATCCAGGTCTTTCCCATCTCTGCTCTGCTGTCCTTAGCTTTGGGATCATCCTAACACTAGCTTCTATTATTCCAAGAATGCTGCTATCAGTAGCTGGAAAAATTTGTTCATATCAAATTGGTTTCAATTTTCCCAGAGACTACAAGACAGTCTTTTCTCAGTATGGTATTGGTTCAAGCTGGTTTAGTACGTATACCCTTGGAACCAATAATTGATAAAGTTGATGATATTAACTATGAATGGCTCAAACTATGCATATGGGATAAAACGTAAACTCAGACATTTAAATAAAAATTCAATGAGGCAGAGTATTAATGTTTAAAATTATATTTTTCACATCAATAAAATATTTAAAATTTATCTCAAAACAAAAACAAACCTGATTCAAACAAGTTAATGGACTTAAGGAGAGCTAAATTCATTTCTCTCTCATCTAGTAAAACTAACTCAAGTTTCTTAACTATTCAAAACAAAACTTCTCTCAATGACATATATTTGTATATATATATATATTTATTTATATATATTTTTACTTTTACATTTTATTTAGATAAAGGGTCTCACTGAGTTGCCTTAGGGCCAAGCTAAATTGCTAAAGCTGGCTTGTACTCACAATTCTGCCTCAGCCTCCCGAGTTACTGGGATTACAGGTATGTGCCACCATGTCTGGCTCTTCCAAGGATCTTAGGGGAACAATTAATTCCTTACATATAAATATTATATTAAATATAACATTATATATTTTTTTAAGTTTTATTTTTTGGTACCTGGGATTGAACCCAGAAGGGCTTAACCACTGAGTCATATCCCCAGCCCTTTTTATTTATTTATTTGTTTTTAATAAGATATAGTCTATTTTTAAAATCTTTTTACCTTTTTTTTTTTTAACTACCTTTTCATTTTTTATTTTGAGACAGGGTCTGGCTAAGTTTCTTGGGGTCTTGATAAATTGCTGAAGCTAGCTTTGAACTTGTGATCCTCCTGCCTCAGCGTTTGGAGCTGCTGGAATTATAGGCATGTGCAACATCATATTATCTTAAATTTATCTGTATATCTTCACTAGTAGAATGGGAACATTTTAGACTTGAAGAGAAAACTGAAGTTATGAAATATAATGTCTGATTCAGTAAATACTCAAATACACAAGTTTAAATGAATGTTTTGCTGATTTTAAAATTTAAGAATTAGCAGACAAAACGTTGATAAGAAGTGGAGACTACTATGTTCTTGAAGTTACTTGCTTTTCTTGAGATTTCAGACTTATATACTGATTTCCTCCTCTAAGATGAGAAATGAAAAGAAAAGCCAGAGGTAGTCAATATTATTAATAGTTATTCTTTTCATCTCTCCATTCTGTTTGTTAGTCTCTGCTGCTAATTATTTTGGATATTTTACCTTTTATTTTTTATATGCCTTAAGGTTATTCATAGAAATGTAACTTAACATTTAACCACACATTGTTTTGTACTATGACAATACTCCCACAACATAGTAGGATACAAACCAATATATTGTGGTAAATTCTATAAAGTACTATGTATGGGAAACAAAGGAGTTTCCCATATCATCAGGTAGTTGTTCTAAATTTTCTGTAACACTAATTACAAAAAAGTCACTGATTGAAAGGACAACATTGTAAATACCTAATCAATTCAAAGACTGTCCTGAAATTCAGAATACTAACATTGTAAATACCTAATCAAAGAAGAGTGCCAAAAACTCTTTGATCAAACTGCTACTTTAATATGAAAGTGGTAGAATATATATCGTCCTTTCCACCAAAACGCAAAGCTGTAGTTTTTAGAGGGGAGAATAGATATCACAACTAACTCTTGTCATACCCACAAATTCCAAATCTCCAAATTCATACGAAGTGGGGCAGAACTAATTATAAAACAAAAAGAGAAAACAAAACATAAAAATTCAACTCAGGGTCTATTAAGCTATAGTTTAAAAGTACTAAATAGTAAAACAGACAAGTTCAGAAAATTAAAATGCTAATCTAAATTGTCTTCACACAACATTCATACCATACCTATAATATATTTAATGTGAGAATTTTCATATTATTTAGTATTAAAAAAATAATGTAATGTGCTTTCCCAAAAAGCTGAAAAGGCATTTTAAAAATTGTCAGAAACAACAGCAACAATGCAGAAGGAACAGTTTTAGTGGGAGGATGGTAATAGTCAAATAATCCTTTTTCTTAATTAAAGCATCAACTCAGTCTCTTTAAGAGTTCAGTCAAAGAAAAAAGTTACTTTATGATTACTCATTCTTTTACATTATCCAGGATATATGGGGATCTACAAAACAGCTGCTTAATAAATATGCTGATGCATGCTTCTGAAAAATTCATAAAGATTAAAAAACTAGAAGAGGGTGTCTGAAAATCTGATTCCATTAGTAAATAAAACTTGCTAGCCAAATCTCACATTTAACTTTTTAATATTACAAAATCTAAACAAAGGTATCAAAATAATATTCTGTACTTAATTCCTTAGTAATGCTTATTAATAATTTCTGTACTTCTTTTCTAGTAATTTTTATTATATCTCAAGTGGTAGAAATAAATTATCATAAAACTTCAGAGTAAAAACAAAAATTTCAAACTTGTTTAGGTCATAGTAACTTACCTCTTTGCAGTAAAATTTTTTTCCAGATCTTCATTGTGAATCAGTTTTGTATCACCAAACTGCCATGAGGACTGCAGATCACAGCTTACATCAAGCCTGCACTGGTTAAGAGTGTCATGTATGAAACTATACTCCCTAGTATTGGTACAACAAGGTGACAAGTAAACTACAGATAAAGAAAAAGAAAGGGGAAGAGTTGTTATTTGTTTTTAAAATGACAATGAAGACTGTATATCTATTGTAAGACAAATATTCAAGTACTTGGAAATTCATTAACAACAGTTTAAGTTCCACCACAGTAAATTGGACCTCCTATATGAGGTAAAACAATACACAAACCTTGCTTTTTCTTCACATGCCTACAGTAGTTCTTCAAAGTTGACTACACATTCGAAGACTGTCCTGAAATTCAGAATACTAATTTTCTTTTTTTTAAAATATTTTTTTAGTTGTCAATGGACTTTTATTTATTTATATGTGGTGCTGAGGATCAAATCCAGTGCCTCACACATGCCAGGCAAGCACTCAGCTACTGAGCCACAACCCCAGCCCAGATTACTAATTTTCAGTTTAAACTTGGCAGCTAATGTTAACACATGCATGTTTCTTGTCATTCCCAAGCAAAGTTAAGGCAACCCACATACTAGAAAACTATCTACTTATTTTGATTTGCACAAGTATCCGAACATTGCTGCAAGTTGCTGGCTGATACTGTGGCATGAATAAGAAGAAACAACTTTTTCAGGAGACAATGAGCAAGGCACATGAATAAAAGGATAAAAACCTTTAAAAAGTGTACTCAAAAGGAAAGCAGGGAGAAAATATGGTTGTTTCTTGTTATTTGTGATAGTTAAGTTTCACAATGTCACCATAAATACTCAATTACTGAATACTGCACTATTACTCTTGCGGAAAAGGCTTAGGTTTCTGTGAATATAGTAAAATTTTTTCAATTTTTTTCAGTGCTGGGAATCAAACCCAGTGCCTCCTGCATGCTAAGCAATTGTTCTTTCATGAGCTTCATCCCAGTCCTTAAATATTTGACGATTCAAATGCCATTAGCATTACATAGCTATGTTGTCAATATCCCTGTAAAACAAATAAGTCTATCAGCATTGAAAATTTGCTCTTCCATATAGCTACCCCTTTTTTTCCTATATAACACTCAGCAGGTGGTTTAAAAATTCCTCTTCAAACCTCCTGATCTGAAGAACAGACATGCCTACAAGTTTAACATCTTTCATGTCACATCACTTTTGGGAATACATCAGATAGCCAGCACTAGCCCAGAAGGGTAATAATATACCTTTCTGATACTGGATAATGTGACTTTAAGTTCCATCAGCTTTTAGCCTCACAACAATGCTACCCACTGTGCTTATAAGCTGTCATGAGTCTATGAAAGTTAGCTACTTCTCCATAGCTTCACCAGGCAATACAGATGTTATTGCTTTAGCACTTTTTGGTAAGGACTGATGTATGGACATAAAAATTTCTCCCTTTTTCTATATGTGCTACATTATTGATTCGTTGACAATGAACTTGAGCTTGAATGAATATTATCTTAAAAAATGTATTTTCTATGCAAGGCACATCATAACCTTCCTGAGCTTAAAAACACTAAGCTTCACTTCAGCATTACATCTGGGGACCAGTTTAAACAACAAAATCACCAATAACAACAAGAAAAAAGTAAAACTAAAACTGCAAAAAGGACACTTAATGCTGTCTGAGAAAGAAACAAGATGGCAGAGCATTACCCTTATCTGACCTTACCTGAGAACATGTGCACTGGGCAACTCAAATTTTGGGCTGCTATCCACACATCCGTGGAAGCATTGTTTATCAATTTTGGCTTACAAATAAAAAAGCACAGGCACTGTGCTGGAGTTGTGGCTGAGTGGTAGAGCACTTGCCTAGCACATGTGAGGCACTGGGTTCAATCCTTAGAACCACATAAAAATAAATAAAATAAAGCCCACAAGAGTCTACCTTAAAAAAAAAGAAAAAAAAGAAAGCACTACTGAGTACTGATTATGAATTTTACCAAGTAGAAAAATTAAAAATACAGAATATTCAAATAGTAAGGACTGACTATACAGAAGAAAAGCAATTTCTATGTATCAAAACTTAATGATACCATACCTAACATTAATCTAATCAATGGAATAAGTTAAAACAATGGAAAAACTAGTATCAATATTATAAGTAGCTGATTTTCAAAATCATCTCATTATTGACTCAAATAAAACTAATTTTCATTTTAATGTTTGTAACAATTATTACAAATTTTGATAATTTTATAACAAATGCTTTTGTGGATGGGTAAGTTTTTAACTATTTTAAAATGATAATTGATTCACAGGAAGTTGCAAAACAGTAGAAACAAGCCCTATATCCCCTAACCCAGTTTCCTCACATTTTATTTGACTATAAATACATTTTAATTGACCTTGGTACAATCCACATACCTTCTTAAGATTTTACCAGTTTCATATGCACATATGCATATGTGTATAGTTATATGCAACCACTACAAGATGCAGAATTGTTCCATTACCAAAAAGATTTCCTTTGTGTAATTCCTTTGTATATGTAACAATATATAAAGTATAATATAAATTATGCAATAGATGAATCATATTCACCATATATGCATTACATGTAAAGTACATATAACATCTATAATATGTATACATAGTCAAACTAGGAATACCCTTCCCCATTTCTCTTGCCTGTCCCTATGTCCTTGGAAATTATAATCCGTCCATTTCCATACTTTTATCATTTCAAGATTGGTTTCTAAATGAAATTTTGTAGTATGCAAAGTGTAGAAAATTTGTTTTTTCCCACTCATTGCCCTGAGGATCCAGCCAAGTTGTTGTATCAGATCATTTTTTTTTATTGTTGAATAGTATTCTACCGTACAAATGTGCCATATTTTAACCATTCACTCATTGGAAATTTGGGTGGTTGTCAATTTTTGGTGATTACAAATAAAGTTGCTACCACCATTCCTGCCCAGGTATTTGTGTGTACCTAAGTTTTTATTTCCCAAGGATAAATGTTCATATTGCTGGTTCATATCTTAGGTGCAATGTTTAGCTTCTGGAGAAACACCAAAATTTACAGAGTGCCTGTGCTATCTTAATATCCCCACTGGCAATATACCAGTGATTTGGTTCCTCCACATCCTCTCCAGCACTCAGCATCATTATCCTTGTTTTAGTTGTATAGTTATATTGGTGGTTTTCATATGCATTTTCTTTTTTTTTGTACATTCAGAATTTTTATTTCAAAACAAAGAACCACAATAACATTAATAGAAAATTCATATGGAAATATTCACAACCTGGTCATTGAAAAGTGGGAGAAGTTCTACGCTGCTTAACTGCCAACGCACTGAGGAGCCAGAAGAGGTAAAGTCAGGTAAGTCCCCTTTTCCAACAAAGCATTGCTCCATAGCTATGCGAGTTTTCTTCTAAAGGCTCAATGACCAGAGGGAATGATGAGAACTGAAGAGTAAAATACTGTTATATGCAAAGGTTTGGCTAAAGGGTCTGACATGAGTAAGCACCAAAGAGGGAAGGGAGATCAGGCAATCTATGAAAAAGGGAAGAGGCTGAGTGTCATCAGGGCCAATCTCCACTTACAAATGTACTGGGGAATTTGGAGATGATTGTGGAGGTGTCCAGGACCTCTATAGGGCAGGAGTAAATCTCACCATCTCTAACCCTCTGAAACACTCCAGTCTTCCTTTGTTTCTCTTAAGAGAATGCCTCCTTCTTCCCATATCCAAAATCCCCAAGAGCCACATGCCCTGATCTTACACTCTTTCCTATTCCCATTGTCTCTCCCATCTGTAGTAAGGCTGAACCCTCCTCCACCCTCAACCTCAAGATGTAGAAGCTCTCCTCCACTCCAATAGAGAAAGGTAGCCAGATGAACCAGAAATCTAAAGTTCCACCCAGCAGAGGCAGTGTTACGTATGTACATAGGGATGAGTTTTAATACAGTCGATCCAAAAGAAGACTATAGGAACAAAGGAACAATAAACTACTTTCAACCAGAGCAAAGTGACAGTGCACATACATTCATATTCTCTCAAGTGTGGGCTACACTGTACATTTACTCATACTATTTCAAATGTGTCTATCAGAAAGATTCAAGTCCCCTAAGGGTACCTGATATAGTATCAGAGTAACATGGTAATAGAATAATTTTGACACGTAACAGACACAGACAGGCATGCCATGACCTTAGAGCAAAAATACTAAAACTAGATAATTGTTTAAAAAAAATTAATAAAAAACCCTCTCCCAGAGCTGAGGTTACAAATTCCAATTTAGCTATAAACATTTTCCTTTGAATCCCTTTAAAACAAGTTAAAACATAAAATCTTAAAGAACAAAGTGAAGAAATACCGAACACCTAAGCAGTAACCAATTTTTTTGTTTGTTTGTTTCTCATTTGGAGGGCTCTGCCACCAGATAGGTGATGGAATTACTTAAAGCATATGAGTCCACTATCAGGGGAAGGAGTTGTTTGGACTAGGAAGGCTTTCTGCAAATAAACATCCTTCCCTTCTCTGGACTCCATCCAAAATTAAAACCCATCAACCGCCATTAACTATAACACCCATCTTAATAAACATTAGATTTCAAGTAATACTATAAACTATAATCTTAAAGAAAAATCCCAAAGGAAACCAGTAGCTTTTTTATACAGGCACATGATTGAGAAATCAAACTAAATTTCTGTCTGGAACACATTGTCATTAGGCAACATGCAGATTTCAGGCACCATATCACATACCCTCCACCAACAGATATTTCTTCCTCTATTCTTCCTTCTTGTTGTACCTCTCCAGTATCAAATCGTCTTTGCCCTAGAACCTCTTTAAACACCTCTCTCTAACCTTTATTTCCTTATATTTTCATTATTTGGTAAAATTACTTTACACTTAAAAAAATAAATATTTATGCAATAAAACCAGAAGATAAAATAAATAAAACTCAAGTTACTTTGCTGTGCAGAGCTGTGTGAAAGTGAGGAAGGTGCTCTTATTTAATTCCCCATAACCCTCCACACTATGTATATCTGCTTCCTGACAAGTCTGAGGTTGGGGGAACTGCACCCTAACTCTTTACTCCCCTATGTGCCCCAGTGAGGCATTAGAACCTAAGGGAAGAAGAGCTGGCAACGTTGTCATATGCCAAGCAGCCAATCCCTCCTGAAATGAAGAAGGTCGGTTCACTTGGTCTCTCCTAAACAGAAGAGAATGTCCAAGAAATGAAATATTTAAAAAGCATTGAAGATCTGACTAACCCCAACACTGGGCTCATCTGAGTGTTCAGAAGTATGAGGGATGAGAAGGGAATCAAGTAGCAGCATTCGGAAGCAGTCCTGGGTTCATCCTGATGAAGTTTCTCTCTCTATTCAGGGAGAGGTTGCTTTCCATGTTGGGAGAGAGGTGGAAGGAGGTCTGACTAGACATTGGTGGTATTCTCCTTAGCAGGCTGGCTGCTGTTCATCTCCCCCACAGAGCCTTTCCCAGCTCTATTATTGGACTCATTACCATGCCCTTCAAAGGCCCGTGTGATATCCTCAAAAGTCCTGCCTCGGGTCTCAGGGACTTTGAAGAAGGTGAAGACCAGGAAGATAATGAGGAAAGTGGCGAAGATAAGAAAAACATAGGCTCCCAAATAGGCTGCAGCTGAGAGAAAGAGCAGTCCAACCAAAAAGTTGGAGGTCCAGTTAGAACAACCAGCTACTGCCATGGCTGCTGGGCGTGGTCCCTGTTCAAAGAGTTCAGCCACAATAAACCATGGAATAGGGCCTGGTCCAATCTCAAAGAAGGCCACATAGATCAAGATAGCTGTGATACAGACAAAGCTCATTGCATTATAGTTATCCTTCAATAACAAAGAAATAGTCATGATGATGGAACATATAGCCATTCCTCCAAGGCCTATCATATGTAAAGTCCTTCTTCCTGCCCTTTCCACCAGAAACAGAGAAACTACAGTGAAAATAGTATTAACAACACCGGCTCCAATGGTAGCATATATTGGCTCATCAACACCTGCTTCCTTAAAGATTCCTGTTGAGTAATAGAACACAGCATTGATCCCAGAGAGCTGCTGGGAGAGCTGAAGCACAATGGAAATGAGGAGGGGTTGTTGGTAGTTGGGTGACTTAAAGAGCTGCAGCACAGAGACTTGCTTTTCTTGTGACATTCTAACACTCTCTTCTTTCAGTTCCAGGATATCCTGGTTCACATCTGGTGTGCCCCATAACCGTTGGAGGATCCTCTTAGCATTCTCCTCTTCTTTTCTATTAATGAGCAAGAATCTAGGACTTTCAGGGCAAAATGGAAGGGCTATACTTTGTAGGATAGCTGGAATAATTGTTAAGCCCAACAGCACAGGCCACAGATCTTCAGATCCCAGGATAAATCCCAGACCAAATATCTGAGCCACCAGAATCCCAATGACGATCCCCAGCTGGTTGAGAGTGCCAAAGGCACCTCTCAGAGCAGTAGGAGATACTTCTCCAATGTACATGGGCACAAAACCTGTACAGAGTCCACAGAAAAGTCCAATAATCAAGCGGCCCAGGATTAACATCTCAACGGACTCAGCAATCTTGCAGAACCCCATGAGGCAGCCACCAGCAATAGCCAACAGGTTGACTATAAGCATTGAATTGCGCCTGCCAAATCGGTTGACAAAGAGTCCAACAGAAAAGGAGCCCATCATGCCACCAACAGAGAAGATGGCCACAGACAAGGACCAGAGGGTTGTAAGCAATGTTTTACTAGGAATGTCTTCCAATCTCTCTTCCAAAGTATAGTTGAGAAAGTCTTTTATGATAGTCTCAGGAGCATTGATGACTCCAGTGTTGTAGCCAAACTGGAAAGAGCCAATTGTAGCAACAGAGACAGCAAAGATCAGAGATGGGGTCACCTTCTGTGTCCCCATGGTCCTAATTTAATTTTCTTCAAATCCTGAAGAAAGATCTGGGATGGAATTCCAGAGACGCCTCTTCCAGCCAACAAAACCTTCAAAATGTCCTCGGCAGCAAGTTCTCTTCAGGTCTTCAGCTGCGATCGGTACCCACTCTCACCAATACAGCATCTCTCCATATGCATTTTCTTAATGGCTAGGAGGTTGAACACCTTTGTATTTGCCTAATTGCCATCAGTATATTCCCTTTGTTCAAAGTCTGTTCATGTCTTTTTCTTGTTTTCTAATTGGTTTCCTTTTTTGTTGACTTTTTCTTTTTTTGGGGGGGGGATGGTGAAGGGGAGAGGCACTACTAAATCACAGAAGCAACAAAGGACTCTGGTCAAAATCTTGCAGGACTTAAATCCTAGCCCTATTAGTAGCTGCATTTTTTTTTTTTGGTTTATGGTTAATGACCTCTTTTTCCTGAGCTCAAGTTCTTCAGCTGTTATAGATAGGTTATTAGAGGTTTTATTAGTGCTTTATATGCTCTAGCTATGAGTCATTTATCAGAATCATGATTTAGAAATGTTTCCCACCATTCTTAGCTTGCTAACAAGGTCTTTCATAGAACAAAAATTTCCAATTTTGATAAAGTCAACTTATTGACTTTTTAAAATGGATTATGCTTTTAGTATCTAAGAACTCTTCCATCTAGGCCAAGATTCTGAAAATGTTCTCCCACGTTTTAAGTTTTACATTTTAAACTCAGGAATCATTTCAAATTATTTATGTAAGGTTAGGGTAAATTTAATTTTTTTTTTAGCCTATGGATGTGCACTTGCTCTAGCAACATCTGATTTACCTTTCCTCAACTGAAAATTAGTTTTATTTGAGTCAATGATAAGTTGATTTTGAAAATCAGCTACTTATAATATTGATACTAGTTTTTCCATTGTTTTAACTTATTCCATTGATTAGTGTATGGTAGCATTAAGTTTATATACATAGAAATTGTTTTTCTTCTGTATAGTCAGTCCTTACAATTTGAATATTCTGTATTTTTAATTTTTCTACTTGGTAAAATTTATAATCAGTACTCAGTAGTACTTTCTTTTTTTCTTTTTTCTTTTTAAGGTAGACTCTTGTGGGCTTTATTTATTTTTATGTGGTTCCAAGGATTGAACCCAGTGCCTCACATGTGCTAGGCAAGTGCTCTACCACTCAGCCACAACTCCAGCACAGTGCCTGTGCTTTTTTATTTGTAAGCCAAAATTGATAAACAATGCTTCCACGGATGTGTGGATAGCAGCCCAAAATTTGAGTTGCCCAGTGCACATGTTCCCAGGTAAGGTCAGATAAGGGTAATGCTCTGCCATCTTGTTTCTTTCTCAGACAGCATTAAGTGTCCTTTTTGCAGTTTTAGTTTTACTTTTTTCTTGTTGTTATTGGTGATTTTGTTGTTTAAACTGGTCCCCAGATGTAATGCTGAAGTGAAGCTTAGTGTTCTTAAGCTCAGGAAGGTTATAATGTGCCTTGCATAGAAAATACATTTTTTAAGATAATGGTTACATTTGAAAAGGAGGATTTCAGTTCAGTGATCTAAGTGTCCTTGAGAAATATGAGTAAGATAAGCCTCAGACTAGCCAATAAAAGGAAAATCAATGAAACAACAAAAATCAATAAATATTGAAAATAACCAGAAAGAAAATCAGTTTGGTATATTTGTGTGGGTCTATGTCCGGAATCTATTCCACTGCTCTATGTCAGTCTCTGCCAATATCACATTCTAATTACTGTATTATATAGTAAGACTTCATTTAATAGAATAATCCCACATTTCTATTACAAAACTGTTTCAGCTATTCTAGTTTGCCTTCCTTTGTAAATGTCAGAGTCAGCTTGTTTATTTATGAAAAATCTTGTAGGGCTTTTACTAGGAAAAGTAATAAAGCTACTTTTAAATTTGTGGTGAACTGACATCTTCATTATGCTGTTTTTTAATTCCTGAAATACTACCTCTCTCAATTCATTCAAATTTTGTTTGTTAAATCAGAGTTTTATAGTTTTAAGAATAAAATTCTTATGTCTTGTTAAATTTATATGGTTTCACTTTTTGAGCTATTGTAGATGGCACTATTTTTAATTTTGATTTCTGTGTTCTTTGCTAGTACACAGAAATACAATGAAATATTTCTATTTTGGTCTTGTATCCAGTGACTTTGCTGAATTAATTGTTCTAGGTCTCTCTCTTCACCTCCTCTCTTTGCCCCACCCCTCTTTTCCTTGTTTTGCAGATCACTTGGGATTGTCTAGGCAGACCATAGACTTAAATAGTGTCAGTTTTTTTTTAAGAGAGAGAGAGAGAATTTTTTAATATTTATTTTTTTAGTTTTCGGTGGACACAACATCTTTGTATGTGGTGCTGAGGATTGAACCTGGGCCGCACGCATGCCAGGCAAGCGCGCTACCGCTTAAGCCACATTCCCAGCCCCTTAAATAGTGTCAGTTTTCTTTTTTCTTTTAAAAATGTGTGTGCCTGTTAATTTCTTTCCTTGACTTTCTGTTCTGGGTGAAATTTCCAGAATTATGTTGAACAAAAGTGTTCATGAAACAAAGTCTAGGCACAGTGGTATGTGCATGTAGTCCCAGCTACATGGGAGGCTAAGGCAGGAGGACTGTTTAAGTCCAAGGAATTCAAGACAGCAAAACCCTGTCTCAAAAAGAAGAAAAAAGTTGGAAAATAAAACACTTATTGTTTTAGCTTTGGTGTGTAATTCATCTTATAATATTGCTGAATTTGGTTTACCTATATGTTGTTAGGGTATCTGAATCAAAATTATGCTATACATTGGTCTGTAATTTTCTTTTAATATTTATCTGATTTTTGGTACTAGTATAATACTGACACTCATAAAATTATTATCTCTACTTATATTTTCTGGAAGAATTTGTATTTTTTCATTATTAAACTACTCCACTGAAGCCATCTGGACTTGGAGATCTATCTTCCAATAGTGTGTTAAATTTTTTTAATGGTTTCCATAAATGGTTACGAGGCTACTTAAATTATCTTTTTAGTACTGAGTTTCAGTAGTACTTTTCAACAAACTAGTCCATTTCACCTAAGTTGTTAAATTTACATGTGTAGATTTATTCATAGTACTCACTAAAAATCCTTTCAATGCCTGTGGGTTGGTAGTGATAACACATTTTTTTTTTGTACCAACGACTGAATCTAGGGATGCTTAAACACTGAGCCACAACCCCAACCCTTTCTCATTTTTTATTTTGAGACAGGGTCTCACTAAGTGCTTCAGGCCTTGCTAAATTGCTGAGGCTATCCTCGAACTCCTGCCTTAATCTCCCAAACTTCTGGGAGTGTTGGGATTATAGGTGTGTGCCACCATGGCACACATTTTGTTCTTGATAGTGGCAATTAGTAGTTTATCTTTTTCCTTTGTGGGGCTTGTTAGTGGCTTGTCAATACTTACTGATTTTTTTTTTTTGTTGTTTCACTGATTTTCCTTTCATTGGCTAGTCTGAGGCTTACCTTACTCATATTTTGTTTTTTCAAGGACACTTATATCACTGAAGTCCTCCTTTTCTTTTCAAATGTAACTATTTATCATTATACATGTCTTTGTTAATGGCTATGTTCCTCAAATTTTGATATGGTGCATTTTCATTCAATTCATGCATTTATTTTCTTTGAAACCCAAGTGGCGGGGAAATTACCCCCCCACTTTTTTTCATGGCGCTAGGAATTGAACCAGGGCCTCACAGATCTGCCACTAAGCTCCACCCTAGCCTTCTTTTTCTGTTATTAATTTCTACTTTGCATGTACCCAGAAAATACACTCTTTATTTTAATTATTTTAAACATGTTGAGATATATCTCATGGCTCAATATATATTGTGTACCTTGATGAGATGGGTGTGTGGAAGGTAAGTCTATTTTACTTTTTGTCTTATACACTGATCTATTGGTTGACAATATTAAATTTTTCTATATCCTTGCTGATTTTGTCTAGTAGGTCTATCAATTGCTGAGAAAAAATACATAGTCTCCAACATCAGTTCTGGTTTGTATCCTGGCAGTTCTATTAGTTTGCTTCACGTACAATGAAGCTTTGTTGTCTCATAAACACACTTGTAAAATTCTTCCAGAATACATACCATTCTCCCACTTTCCTCCAATGGCAATCTCACTTTAAAACAGTCTTAAAATACTTCCCCCCCCATATATACACACACACACACACAAAAACTCACAGCAGATGTTGTAATTTGTGCTACAATGATCAAATATGAGAAAAATTCAAGAGAAGATGGCTTATATTTATGTATATTTTACTATTTCCACTATTTTCCCTTCATTCTTGATGCTCTGTTTCCTTCTTTTATCAACTTCTGTTCGAAGAACTTTACCCATTTTTTTTTATGTTAGGTCTGGTGATGAAAAAATTCTTCAATTTTAGTTCATCCAAGAATGTCCATTTCATCTCTAATCATAAAGGATCATTGCACTGTGCATAGATCTCTAAATCCTTAGTTCTCTTTCTGCATTTGAAAACTTTCTCTCTTCCTTGGGCTTTCATGATTTCTAACAGAAAATCTGTAATTCAAAAAAAATTTTCCCTATACATAATGTATGGTTTTTTCAAGCTGCTTTCAAGATTTCTTTGGGCTTGTCATGTCTGTGCAGCTTCTTTATTATACAGATTAGTAACTTTTGCCAAATGTGGAAAATTTCCAGACAGCACTTCTTCAAATGTTTTTCTCAACCTTAGTCTTTCTCCTTTCCTTTTAGTACTATAATGACAAAGATGTTAGATATTTTTGTTATTGTTCCACAAACCCCTAGGGTTCAAAATTCACTTTTTCCCATGTTGTTGGTATGATGAATAATTTCTATTTTTCTATATCCAGGTTCATTGATTTTTTTCTTTTTGTAGTAGACTGAACCAAGAGGCATCTCCGGCACTTTATTTTTTATCTGATACAGAGTGTCACTAAGTTGTCCAGGTTGGCCTAGAACTTGGTTGATTCTCAGCCTCCAGAGTAGCTGGATTACAGGGGTATGCCAACACCCCTAGCCAGGTTCACTCTTTACACTGTCTTGACTATTCCTCTCTTTGACCTATCCAGTCAGTGTTTTTCCTTCTTCATGGACTTTAATTTTTAGAGAAGTTTCATGTCCATAGCAAATTTGAAAGAAAGGTATAGATTTCCCATCACTCCACATTCTCACATATAAATAGCCTCCTCTATTTCCAACCTCCTCTAAGAGAATGGTACAAAACTCGTGAACTTACACTAATACATAATTATCACTGGATCTGTAGTTTACATTAGGGTTCACTGTTGGTGTACTTTCTCTGGGTTTTTGAAAAATGTATGATACCAAGTATCACTAAATACAGAGTGTGACAGTGTCCTGCAGAGTAGTTACATTGCCCTAAAAGTCTTCTGTGTTCCATTTATTCATTCCTCTCCTTGTCCTAAACCCTGCAACCACTGGTAATTTTTACTACCTCCATCATTTTGCTTTTTCAAGAATGTTACAACAGTTGGAATCACATAGTATGGATGCTCTTCAGATTCGCTGCTTTAACTCGGCAATGTTCATTTAGGGTTCCTCCATTTTTTTTCCTATAAAATTGGTAACTCATTTCTTTCTAAGCACTAAATAACATTCTATTGACTGGATATGCTACTTTATTTATCTTCTCATTTACTGAAGGACATTTTCTAAGTTTTAGGAGTGACAACTAAAGCTGTTGTAAACAGCCATGTGGGTAAATACCAAGAAGCACAATGGCTACAGCACATGCTAAGAGTATGTTTAGTTATGTATTAAACTGCCAAACCATCTTCTAAAATAGCAGTACCATTTTGTATCCCCACCAGCAATCAGAGTTCTTGTTGCTCACACGCCAACCAACATTTGGTGTCATGAATGTTCTCGATTTTGGCTATTCTAGTAGGTATGTGGTGGTACCTCATTGTTTTAATTTGCATTTCCCTGATGATATATGATGTAGAGCATCTTTTCAAATGCTTATTTGCCATATGTGTGTCTTCTTTGTTGAAATATCTGTTACTGTATTTGACCCATTTTTTTAAAAAATATTTATTTTTTAGTTAGAGGTGGACACAATATCTTTATTTTTATGTGATGCTGAGGATCAAACCCAGTGCCTCATGCATGCTAGGTGAGCACTGAGCAACAACCCTAGTCCCTTGACCCATTTTTCAATTGGGCTGTTTTGTTTCCTTATTGTTGTAGTGTAAGAGTTTTTGTAATATTTTAATTAACAGTCCTTTATCTGTCTTTTGCAAATATACGTGTAAGTATGTGGCTTGTCTTTACTATATATTCATATGGTACTGGGGATTGAACCAAAGAGTGCTCTACCTCTGAGCTACATCCCCAGCCATTTTATTTTTTTTTATATTGAGACAGGGTCTGCTAAATTGCCCAGGCTGACCTTGAAATTATGGTCCTCCTGCCTCAGCCTCCCAAGTAGCTGGGACTATAGCCATGTGCCAAAGATCCCAGCTGTGTTTTCATTCTTGAGATTATACTTCTATTTTCATCACCGTGACCAAAATAAAGGATAAGAACAACTTAAAGGAGGAAAAGTTTATATGGGGCTCCAGGTTTCAGAGGTATTAGGCCCAACATAAGAGAGCATATCATGGGGGAAGGGTCCAGTGGAAGAAAACTGCTCAGCTTATAGTGGTCAGGAAGCAGAGAAAGACAAGGAAATGGACCACAGGAAGACATATCCTTCCAGGGCATGTCCCCAATGACCCACCTTTTCCAGCCATACCCCATCTGTTTAAAGTTACCACCCAGTTCATTAAAGCCAGGATGGATTGATTAGGTTACAGGCTCTCACAGTTCAATCACTTCACCTCTGAATATTCCTATAGAAACACAGGAGCTTTGGAGTGATACCTCACATCCAAATGGGTTTTGTCTTTCTAGGCTGCCTGTTTCAGTTCTTGGGCAAGAGAGAACAATATTTTTTGTTTGTTTGTTTTTTTGTTTTGGTGGGGAGTCTAGGCCAGTTGGCATTTCTAGGAGGCAGGCACCCAGTCTGAGATACTGAAGAAACAATCAATCCAGGGAAATTATATCATACCCAGAGTCTCAGTCCCTTATATGGTCCATAGACTTCTCTTTATCTTTGCTAATCTTCTTACATTTGTTTTACACACAATACCCAGGGTTTTAGTGTATTTACTGTAAGAGTACATGTGTTTTTCTGCTTTGGGCAGAAACAGAGGTATATGTGCATTTAATAAATTAAAGTTCTGACTTAACTTAATTTCATAGAGTGAAAACAGGAAATGAACATAAGAATCAGGAATACAGTAATAGTTATTTTTAAAAATACACATTCCATAGAAATTTTACCTTTCCCTGCTCTTCTCTTAATCTTTGGAATAGTGAATTTCTTCAAAGGACTGACTTCTATACCAGTAATGAATAAAGGTTCACTGGTTGAACTCATTTTCCATAATGTCTTGTGTTTAGCAATCTCTTTCATTTCCATTTTGTTGGTGGCCTAAAAACAACCCAAAGTTATTAAACAAAAGGTCAATAAATACATAAAAGACAATAGCAAAAAAATCATTTAAGAGTTCTTAAATGGAATCGAATAATGATACATTCTTAGTCACACTGCAAACACATTTCAACCTCAATTTGCCAGGTTACACAAAATAGAAAATTAAATAATTTTGGTTTCATATAATTTCAAGATATTTATTCTTTCTGTTTCTAACATACCTTTTCCTTGTAATTCACAAAACGAATTTCTTCCTGAAAAGCTTGAACTTGCAGGTATAAGAAAACTTGCAGTTTTCTTCCACTGGACCCTTATACCTGTAAGTTCAAGCTTTTCAGGAAGAAATTAACATATGGTAAAATTCTTGCTAAATACTCTTATTTTTAAATTATCTTTCCTATAAACTTCTGTTACTAAAATGATATCCTCTTTAAATTAGAATCTCTGGCTTTGAAGAAACTTATGGAAGTTGTAAACCAATTACTGCATGACTATCCTTACAACTAGTCGATGCTAACAACAGTCAATTGCTTATTGACTACTAATCCATAATATCATTCTGCAAGTGTTTAAGACAGCATCATATATTGGCATATTAGTGGTAAAATATTTCTCCTGTTTTTCTCCCTCTTCCTTCTTCTCTTCATCCCTCACCCCCTCTTTCACACATATACATATGTATACAAATGCTGATTCCTAACCTCTCAAGCAAAATTCAAACTGGATATAAAAGGGAAGCTATCAAGCTCATACACAAAGAAATATATATAAGCAGTCATTTTTCATACTATTTCATAATATGGTTCATGGGCTTTCTGATACCTGTCAGTTGCTTAGTTCAAACATTAGCTCACAATGCAAATTAAGATGTCAAAATTCTACAGAAGGATCACAAAGGATAGCATTCTATATGAGGTTCACAAAGGATCCCCCTAGTCCCCATCCTTCATGTGCCCTTTGTAAAAGGTAATCTTGTACTTTTACAGTTATAGATCAGAATAGGGAACAGACAAGAGATTACTAGAAGGTAGAGAAGAAAATTATCCCTTTCATCTTGCTATGCTGACAAACTCTAGTGGGGGGTGTTGCCTGCACTTAAGATATACCAGCTTCAGAGAGAGTTTTCAAGACTGCCATGTTCACCTGGAAGTTTATTAAAGGGAAGAAGGAAAAACAACTTGTCGATTTATGACAAAATACTCTTTGATTAGTTGTAATCTATATTAACAGCACATATAGGTATAGGAAAATCAGTGAAATGTACTTTATTAATGCTGGACAATCCTTGATATTCTCTTTAGAGTGAAATTATATACTCAGAGAAGCTGTATGATTGATTTCAGTCACACATTTTCTTACAAAATGTTCCTCAAGTAGAATTTACTCCTATAAAAGAGCCTTCTGAGAGTAACTGTTTTTGTTCTTCAGTGCTAAGGGTCAAAAAAGCTGCATTTCATACTGATGAAAGATGAGTATTCAGAGCACAAAAGTATTCAATATTCTCAAGTAAGTCACATCATGAAATTTTCAATTATTACCCTTTTGATTGGGAATAATACCCTTTTTATTTCAGCCTAAACAAATCAGCCACAATTAAGTGGTAATAAATGCACACAGTTCTTTACACTCACGTATCACATGCCTATAACCACTTCTTCTATAATGTAAATGAAGTGGTTAAAACATTAAATATAATAAAATATATAATAGTCCTAGAAACACTACATATATTTTTAATATTTATTTTTATATATGCAAAAATTAAATTAGGAAGTTTGAATCCTAAGGGTTTGTGCTGAGCAGGCTGTCCTCTGGGATATTCTTGGTGAGCATGAGACAGGAGAAGAAAAAACAATTCCAAAAACTTCAGCAACAGTAAATGCACAGGTCCTTAATAGATATTCAAATAAATGAATGAACTAAAGAACAGAGGAGCCAAAAATAGGTTCCCCAACAAATAAAACATCTACTCATAGATTGTAAGAATGTTTTTATTGCTAGGCACGGTGGAGCACACCAGGCATGGTGGAGCACACCTGTAATTCTAGCAACACGGCTGAGGGAGGAGGAAGGAGGAGCACGAGTTCAAAGCCAGCCTCAGCGAGGCTCTAAGCATCTCAGTGAGATCCTGTCTCTAAATAAAATACAAAATAGGGCTAGGGATGTGGTTGAGTACCCACGCTCAATTCTCGGTAACTCCCTTCCCAAAAGTGTGTGTTTATTATAAACAAATTTAATTCAATACACTTAAAGATCAGATAAACAAATTCTTGGAAAATGTAACATTAAAACTGACTTAAGAAATAAAAAGAATGGACAACCCTATTATTAATAAAATGTAGTAGCTACAATTGATTCTAAAAGTAAATAAAGAAAACATTAATACATCATAAAAACTGAGTTTATCTCAGGAGTGATTTAACAATAGGAAATACATACATTTTATTTACTTATGTAAGCCAATTACAGAAAATGAAGTGATTCTCTCAATAGATGCAGGAGAAAACACCTAGTCAAACTCAAAACTCATTTATGATTCTTAAAAAATAGTCTTAGCAAATGGAAATAGAAACAGTTATACCTAGATTTTAGATGATTATTGAATATTGGTAGCAAATGGGTAAGTATCAGAAGTGCCCTAACACTCAGAATATAATAAGGATGCTTACTATCACTGTTACCTCTTAATAGTACTGGAGGAGCTCACAAGTCAAAGAAATAAAAGTTATTTAAAAAACTTAAAAAAAAATAAAGGAGAAAAGTGAAACTTGGTTCTGTAGACAAGGGAATTTCTGTAAATGTAAGAGTCTCAGAAGCTAAGAGGAACTCCAGACCCAAATAATAAAGGTGAAATGTTATAATGGTTCAAATTTTAGTTCTACCATGAATTAAGAATGTTGGGCAAACTGCCTAATTTCTCTAAGGCCAATAATAGTATCTATTATGTCATATGGTTGCAGAATCTGGTACATAATAATCACACACAAGTAACTTAAATGTAATCTTGATCCTGTGCTATAGATCCAAATTATGGAGTTGTTAAGAAGTACAGTACAAGGGGAAATACTGGGGAATGATGCTGGCCAAATCCTTGTTATATTGTACACATGTATAAATATGTAACAATAAATCCCACTCTTACCCTTCTGTACAACTATAATGCACCAATAACAAATATGCAGACCTGGGCTCAGTGGCACATGTCTATAATCCCAGTGGCTCTAAGGCTGAGGAAGGAGGATCACAAGTTCAATGCCAGCCTCAGCAATTTAGGGAGGCCCTAAGCAACTTAGGGAGAGCCCTAAGCAACTCAGAGACCCTGTCTCTAAATAACATATTAAAAAGGGCTAGGAATGTGGCTCTGTGGTTAAGTGCCTCCGAGTTCAACCCCTGGTATTTAAAAAAGCAGAAAAAAAATTTATTGCCCCCATACTCCCCACACAAAGAAGTATAATGCTGCTATACTTCTGGCATGGTGTTGCACTACTATAATCCCAGCAATCTAGAGGCTGAGGCAGGAGGATCACAAATTCAAGGGCAGCCTCAGCAACTTAGAAAGACCTGTCTCAAAAAATAAAAAACAGGCTGGGAATGTAGCTCAGTTGTAAAGCAACCCCCTCCCCGACCCTGAATAAATTTTTTTAAAAGTATAGTATTGTAAAGATATACAAATTAGAAGTCAAGGGATGTTGTTTCTATTTCTATCACTGCAATTAACTAATGATGGGACTTTGGGAAAGTTCTAACTTTTTTCTATGTGCACTATGCATGGTAACACATTTTTCAGAGACAAATTAGTGGCAAAAAAATAAATCCTTTTAATGTCAAATAACCAATCTGAACACTTAATTTTCTCATGGTCTATTTTAAGAAGACATTTGTACAGTTTCCTAAGACAATCCTTAAAATTTATGAAACTCAAGTTTTTCAGATTAGCAATTACAGATCAGAGATTTGAGATAAAAACTTGCAAAAATCTTTTACATAATCAGTATCAGAAAGTCTTCACAGAACAATTGTTTCAACTGGACAACTGAGCAAGCCAGAGTTCTCTTAAAGAACCAACATCAGGGCTGGGTTGTGGCTCAGTGGTAAAGTGCTTACCTAGCATGTATGAGGCACTGGGTTCGATTCCTAGCACCACGTAAAAATAAATACATAAAGGTATTGTGTCCATCTGTAACTAAAATAAATAAAGAAATAATCCACAGCTATCAGTTGTGGAAAAGTTTTCAAATGGGACAACTCATGAAAAATTTGGATATATACAAAGCATTAATGAGGAAATTTTCAGTTCATTGAAACTTGTCCATAAATCAACTTCCTGTTAATTTAACATCTCTAAAAGTTTACTAATGTCTATATTTCCTAAAACAAATGCATCAGCATCAAGCTCTTTGGGCAAACAATGTTCTATTTTTACCATTTTCTTTTATTTGTGCCAAATAATACTGATTTCTTATTTACTGTCTGCCCCAATACACTTTTAATAAAAAAGTCTACTTTAAAATATTAGTCAAGAAATTATTGTAATAATGGCAAAATTATCCCTCTTTAAGTAATCTTGGGAGAGAGTTCATGTTGAATAAATATTAGTTTAGACACACAAGTTCTGAATTCTTTTTCTGAGTTCTAAATGGTAGGGATACGTAATTACTTCTAGTAAAACTGGGTTAAATCAGGTCATATTGGTGACAAATTACATAAATACTAAGATTTAAGTCAGGAATTCCTCAATTAAGACTACACAATGTAGATATTAAATACACTTTAGTCCAATGTTTCCCTTTATAGATCAGGAGTTGGCAAACTATAACCCATGGGCTAAGTCCAGACTACGACCTGCTTTTGTAGGAACTTCAAGCTAATGCTTTTTATATTTTTAAGTGACTGAAAAAAATTTAAGAATGTTTCATGTCACAAGAAAAACTGTATGAAGTTCAAATTCCATAATAAGTTTTACTGAAACATAGCCATGCCTCTTTATTTACTT